AAAATTCGAATCGAATAATTAAATTTATGCCTGATTTAAACAAAAATTAGTTAAGAGTCAATTTCTCTATAACAAAAAAACTCACAAACAAAACACCAATTTCTATATCAAATTTTTTTAACACTTTATCAAAAAAATCGAAAGAGTTTTTTTAGCCTGTCTTAAGTTCGTCCAATAAACCACCATTTCCAATGACATCTGAATCTGGAGAAATTAAATACATGAAAACCCATCGAAAACCCAGGAGATACTGAAGTCTTCTTGGCAAGCAACAATTCTTTTAATCGTTCCTCGGAGTCTACTTGAATCAAGATATGGTAAAAGGACTTTTTTCAATTTCAGCTGGAAAAGGCAACACTCAGATTTGAAGTGCCTTCCGAGAGCATATTTTATTTGAAAGTAGATGAAATGGGCATTTTTTCAGAAATTAAAAATTTTGAATAATCTGGTATCAGAACTTTGAACATAGCTTCTGCCGTTTTCTAAGAAATATCAATTCGAATCTTAATGAATTTCGTTTGCGTCTCAAAAGAGTTGGGTCTGCTTGTCAAAATTACAATTAGACTGGGAGTTATTTTCAATACTATAACGTGCCTCGGTTTTTTGATCTCAGATATAATTATCTGATTTAAAAATTTTGAAAAGTTTTCACTGGTTCAGAAAGTTTTTGCATACAATTATTTTCATCGTCTTCAGTTGTTTTTTCTCAAAAATTCTAAGAACACAAATGTATCTTTTACTGTTTTCCGAATTATCGAAATAGCAATCGCCAATTTCTTCAACTGTTGTTGCTGTCTGTTCATTGAATCGTGGTCTTTTTTGAATACATGTTTGCAAAAAGTGGTACCTACTCTATCAGCGGATAAAGAGTTCTCGTCGAACAAGTTTTCTGCAAAAAGGCAGAGAAAATACAAAGACATGACATGACAAAAAAGTTTTTACCCTTAATCATAGATGATCACTGAAAAAAAATGCAGAAAAAGAAATACCGCCCATGCAGCAGTTGGGCGATGTTTCGAAAGGAAGAAAAATTGCAGTATCAGAAATGGATCTGGACGATGCGAAGAAAGAATATAGCAAATTCATTTTTCAGAATATGGAGGTCAATCACAACTCTTATCTCAAAAGTGATATCAGTTTCCTTACCTGTAACTTTGATATTTTTCAGGGAAATTGTCAACAGACGCTTGGTCTGGTTCAAACTTAGCTAGAGAACGCATAGCCTTTGAACGTATCTGAAAAAACTCAAATGTCAGGATTATATCGGAATGTACACATCACAGAACTTTCAAGAGTATGATGTGGGTTGGTACCGCATCTGTGTTTCCTTGTCGTTTTTTCAAAGATGAACACAAAGAATGCCCCAGCTTCAACCCGGATCAGCCTGTACCCCAGGAGTAGTTGAATTCCTACAAACTAAATTTTTTCAGTCAGATCACGGTTAAGTTCAAAAATTCAGCTACTAGAACGGATTTTTGCTTCATCGATTGGCGAGATTATCTTTAATGCACAGGACGGTTTCCACACTTTTATAATTCCAGAATCCTTGAAAAGGATCAACATGTTGGATTTGCTGTTCAAATTGTTCCAATGAGCACAAAAAATATCTTGAACAATTTCAATTTCTGCGATAGACCCATGAAAAAAGCAATCTTGCTAGACGAAAAAATTTCGTACTCAGTTCCGACGAAAAAAATCATATCGTTAATTAATTGAAATTTATTGAAAACTGTTAAAAAAATGGAAATGAGCTAAGAGTTTTTGATCACTTCACAGTCAGTTTTTGAAATCTTCCTTGCAAAAAAAAATTAGGTGATAATCTACCAGTGGAGAAAAAATCCGCTTTCAACGAGTGTTTTGCAAACAACAAGGAGAAACAACGATTCATGATATGAAAGAAAATTGTACTCCTAATCATACATGGCCAATAGAAAACATTTCGCAGAGAAAGAGGGACTACCCGTTGCAAGACTGGTCTGATATTTTGAGCAAAAAATCTGCAATGCCAGACGCTGATCTGGAGCTTGCTAAGACAGTATTTGAAATTCAGTACATGGAGGGCAAGCACAACTTTTATCGCAAGTGTGCCACCGTTTTCCCGGCTTGCGTCGATGAACTTGGAATAAATTGTCAATAAACTTATGGTATGGACTGTGTGCGATATTTAAGTGGTTCCAGTTTAGCCGGAGAAGCCTTCAAACGTGTCTGCAAAAGACTCAAATGTCCAGCATATACCGGACTGTAGACATCTCAAAATGGTCAAAAGTAAGATACGGGGTAGTACCCCATCTGCGTTCAATAGTCGTTTTTCAAAACTAATAACAAAGAAAGTCCGTAATTTTTTTAGAAAATGAGAAAAACCAAAAAATTGGGTAAAATAGAGTTTTTCGTAGGCTGTAGAAAGTGAGGTATGGTAAAAAAATACTCGTGGATTATGCAGGCACACAGAATTGTGGGCTGTATTTCCATTGGCAAACAGGAATTCCAGTATTCTGAACAATTAAATTCTCTCTGGTATCGTTAATTAAATTCTCTCTGGTTTCGGTAGTGAACTGCTCCAAAGATTTTGGGCTAAAAAATTATAGAAGATTTTTTGATTTGAAACGAATTGTGCCTAAAACCATCTGAAGACCAGAACTGTCACTGGGCAAAATGCTACACTATGGGCCCAGAAAAAGCTGGAGGTACCTGATTGATATTTTATGAATTCGCTGCACTGATACTAGATCAAATGAATATTTTCGAAAAATTGAAAAGTTGGGTTTCAGAGAAAAACTTAGCTGTTTCTCTAATAAAGCAAGAAAGACTTTTTTGAGAAATTTGCCATATCCTATTGCCTCGATTTTTTTAAATCACGAAAAAAGTTTCAAACAGCGGTAAAAAAAGACAAAAATAATTCTTTCCGAGAACGATATCTTTGTATGGAAAAACTTGTCATGGTCGCTTATACAGGGGAGCTTCACACAACCTGTATTTTCTTTTGAAACAAAAATATCGAATTGGGCGGGAGTACTTTTTGAGAAACTTTTAAAAAAACAGTCAAAAATTAAAAATATTTTTCCGAGAACAGTCTTTTTAGGCAGAAAATGGGTCCTAGCTACTAAGGCAAGAAAGGTTCCCGCAACCAGGTATATCCATTGGACCCAAAACCCCAGATTTTGGCGGGTAGTTTTCGAGAAAAGTGGTCATAAATCAAATATTTGACTTTCCCCAGGGTGATTACTTTTTGTGTGAGTACATTTGAGCGTAACTACTTATGCAGGGGAGCCTCAGATTACCCGCCCTTCCCTTCGATTGGATCCTAAATCTTGCAGGGTAGTTTTTGAGAAAATGAAAAATTCCAAAAATCAAGTATTCCTACCTCAGAGTTTTTCGAAATCAAGTTTTCCTACCACAGAGTTTTTCGAATGCTGTAGAAATTGTGATATGGCAAAAAAAACGTACTAGTTGCTTATGCGGGCACACAGGGTAGGGAGAAGTCTTTCCATTGGAACCCTTTTAGGAAATCGAAATTGTAGATTTTGAAAAAAAACTAATATTTTTGAGTAGAGTGCAACAATTTTCCGAAGCGTCAAAAAAACACGATACTTTTTGATTAGTTCTCGAACTCGGTAAGCCAAATTCATAAAGGCTATCAACATTATGACACTAGTTAGTCTGTAGAAATTTAATCAGAGCATTCTTTTAAATCCGTTACTTGTTTTTATTTTTTTGAGCTCTTACACTAATTTTTCATTGATAAATTTGCCAATTTTTGTTGGTATATTTGCATTGCTTCGCATACACCAGCAAAAATAAACAACTTTTAGAAAAAGCAAACGAAAGCGAGCAAAAGAAAACATGCTTTGGATAACATAGAAGCTACTGAATGCGAGAGTAATGAAGGCGTCGAAGTCCTTGAGAAGAGTGCAACCCTTTCCACCGAAATAATCGTTACTGAATTAATGAGATCAGTTGGAAGTAAAAGCAGTTATTATAAGCCCTTAGCCACACCAAGGCCTCTACTTCGAAGCTCTTGCTTTACCAACATGTCTGTTTGCAAAAACGAAAAAACTAGATTGGAGTAGAAAGGTAAACCGAAACTAGAAAGAAAAACTTCAGATAAAAATCCGACAAAAGTACCTCTGGCTGAGGCGCTTGAATAACAGAATCACTTGGCATCGTGGTAGGGCGTTCACTTCGAGAGCGTCAGATCGTGTAATCGATCCCATGCCATGTCAATGATAGTGAGTCGCACTTGACATCCAGCTTCAGGTCTACCACAGCGTGACCCAATTTCGGCTGCATTAGTGGTTCCAAATTCTGGACGCAAAAACTACTACCTTGACTCGCTAAGAAGTATGGGCCTACCGCTTTCGATGCGTCCTTTCAAAGTACTTGTGTAGAAGTAGGTTCCAGGTGAAACACAACAAATTTTCTTCTTTAGACTTACTACTTCAAATTTTCTATATAATCAAAAACTATTTCATTGGCTAAACTTAAACAGCAAATGTTTATACTGTACTAGCAGCAAAATAATAAAACCAATCGACCTAAATTATCTATGTGATTTAGCTACGGCAGAAATTGAACTTGAAAAAAGTGGATAGCTCAATTTCAATAAGACTAAGCAGTTTCTAAGGCCGACTTTAATTCGGAAAACTCTTTTCTGGGAACGTATAGAGTTTTTTGGGACCATACTTCTAAACGGGTTAGCCATACTCTTTATAGTATAAAGAAATATTGGCAAAATTAGGGGAAAATTTTTATTGCAATAATTCAAGAGTGAACATCTCGTATTTACAAAAATTGCGACTAAAATTTTATGAATAAATTTATAGTTGAATCGAATGTACAATTTGATCAAGATGACTAGACTTTAAGAGCTAATTTAGGATCTCTTTAACTATTCCTCTTTTTTTTCCAAAAGGAGGATATTATTACTAGATAGATACAAAATTCACATATGCTTCATATGCTTAACCGTTGAATTAGTTCATTATAGGTGGCAATTAGTTACTAGGTACCAAAGGGGGGGGGGAGTTGAAGAAATCTCTAATTTGATGATTAATCAGAACGTTGAGCTAATCTAATTAAGTAATCTATATTTCTGCAATTATATTTTTACAAGCTATTTACAATTTTCATAAACTCTTGATATGATACAGATTCCATAGAACTTTGTGACTTAGAGTAATAGCTCATTTGTGAATGATTCGAACCAATGCAATTTACTGCAAGGTGAGCGAAATTTTGTCCAAAGCATTCATTCGCAGCTGGATTTTGAAAAAAGTTTATATGCATGACATCACCACTTTCTTCAAGAAACTTCCTGATTTGAGTTCGCATCCATTCCGAATCATCGCAACTGTACAGTTTCTTTCGAACAAGTGATACAAGATACAACTGTTTTGATTCCTGAAAAGCAAACAAGATTTTCGAGCTTTACCATTCGCAAAATTCTAAAGCTGCCTTTTGAGTTGAGAGCTATTCATAAACACCCATTTGCCAGAACAACAAATACAAGGAGAAATATTAGTCTATATGTGCTGTTCAGGATCTATCCCGTTAACTATTTTAATTCCGATACCACGGGATTGCGTTCTCAAAATTAGACTGCAAATTAATACCTTTTTGGTCAAGTTATCTTTCTTTCTATTGCACAATGAGTCAAGTCTCCTCAAAAATTGCAGCATATCCACTTGCGAATCATTTGAACTCAGATCCCGGCCTCCAATTGAACCTCGCTTCCCCGAAGGACTCAAACTAGCCACCTTTAATTCTCGCAGTTTTGACATTGGCAGTGTGACTGTAAACGATTTATTGTTCGAGCTACTTGTCGATATAGAACTCGGACTCCTGGTTGATTTCAACGCGCGGGCCAAGGCGGCTGTGTTTGGCTGACTCGATTCGAAATTATTTGATACAGGCGAGTTAATCCTTGGAGGATTACCAGAACCATGCCCGTTACTTCGTGTATTGTGACCGTTGTTAGACATGGGTTCTTCAGCCACCGAATTGAGTGAGGTAGCTGAGCTTGCACGTGAGTGAGAAGCAGTTGGAAATGAGAGACCTCCTGAGGATCCTAGGAGATCCATGGTCACTTCAGCAGCCGGCGAGGGGGTTAGATTTCCACTGGATTGAAAACCACTGAAACAATTAGAGACAATTGCAATTCGGTCATTAATAAAAAATACAAAAAGATCTTTAAGCCTCATACGACCTAAAAGAACCAATTCGCACTTCTATTTTAAGTAGGATAGTTGTAACATTCAGAGCTAAATTTCATAATTCTTCCAACATTTTCCTTTGAAAACTTGCATCACTTTGAGATGGCGAAACTTTCCTTGCTAACCTTTGCAGGTCACCGTGTGACCCTAAGGATAGCTCCAGTGTATTGGAACTTGGTCGAGACGAGTTCAACTTCCATGTTTTGCTCACTGAATCTAGTCTCTGTCGCAGCATTTCATTCCTTCGCCGACACTGCTTCAATTTGTCAGCCTGTATGTCTAACTGCTCCAGCAACTTGGGAGACAGTATTTGCACAACTCCTACGATCAAATAAGAAAAATGACCCCCGAGAAACCCAATATTTCAACACAGAGGCGAAGCTGCACTTCGCAAAAATCAGCGAGAAAAGAAAAGGCGAAACTAACAAAAAGTCTGCCAATCCGCTTACTAATAGTGGAACACTAAGGGCCCCATTTGATATAAGGGCCCCAAAATAAACTGTCGTGTAACCCACCTCCGGTGCTTTTAACAGATTAATAAATATGAAAACTGCTTAAAAAAGAATATATGAAAAAACAGCAAAAGGAATGCAACTGTAATAATAGACGGGGAATCCAAAACGCTTATTTCTAAAATTGAACGATAAAAATAATTTCGACATAAATGTTCTTTTTGAATATACTTTCATATTTAAAAAAAACTTCGATACAATTTCATTTGAAAAATCACTGAAATCATAAATGAGATTTTTGTTTAACTAAGTTCCTTATTTTTATTAGCTTGTACGTATATCACTTAGTGTAATGAAGCGTTCAAACCTGCGTTAATAATTTAAAAATGTGATCTTTTTTCTTAGTTTGATCAAAAATTTTTAAATATCAGAAAAAACGTCAATTTCGAAAAACTAATTAACTCGAGCAATAGTACCAGGATGAAGGCCACATCTACAACTGCTGGTAGTAGCCTGACCTTACCCCACTAAAATGTCTAAAATTTCAAATTTTGAAAAGAAAATACTGATGAAATTTAACTCTTTGAAAATTTTTTTAAAAAAAACGTCATATGTAGGAAAGTGAGAGGCGTTGACCAGTCAAATATGGAGTCGATTCGTGAACCTCTTGTGAGTACCTTGACAGTGTTCCATAATAGCTTTGAGAAATTCAAACTCCAGGAAACTTTTTTAGGTTTTTTTTTTTTTTGAAAATGTCTGAAAAATCAAAAGAAACGGCTTATCTCGGAAATCAAGATGATTTGAGAAGACAAACTTGGAGGCAAGATATGCAACCTCTGAGATTATTCTGAGAGCACCCCACTACAGGGTTGGAATTTTCGAGTTCTGAGAGCACCCCACTACAGAGTTGGAATTTTCGAGTTTTGCAGTTTTTTAATTCAAAATTTTTGGAATTTTTTTTAAAACCTTAAAAAGTCACATCTCGGAAACTGAAGGAACCTGGACACTCAACTATGGAGGCAAGATTTGCGACCACTGAGGGTACCCTGGGAGCACCGCATTAAGTCAAGTTTTCTCTGAAACTAAAAGAAAATCACGTTTTTAGGCCCAAATTTAAGGAATACTGACACCAAAAAACTTTTCGGCCAAAAGTGGATATCATAAAAAGTACAAAGTGGGCACCGTTTGCGCAATGAGGGGGTCGAATAACTGAGTGTGGTGAGGGGTTGCGCCCGCTTTTTCGGCCAGTTTTCTAGATTCCGTTTAAACAAAAAACGGCCACTTATACCTCACCTAATGCATCTGGTCTCAATTCTTTTTCAACCGTAATACACTTTGCCACAAGCAATCTCATTAAATCCGAGTAAGGCAGTCGGGCATCTATCGGCTGGTAGTTACACTCCACTATCTTCTTCGCGATCGAGAGAATGTTGTCTGCTATGAATGGGGGCTTCAGGGTGCACATTTGGTACACTATGCACCCGTACGCCCAGATGTCTGCTTTGTTGTCGTACGGTTGTTCCTGAGTGATTTCAGGACACCTAAAAATGCGTTTCATTGGCCATGATTTGATTCGACAGTTGAGTGCTTTTTTATACAATAAATTGACTTAATCGTTTCTGTTAATATTTTTCTTTTTTTTTTCGTTAAGGTGGGTCTTAAATATAAATTTTAACTGACTCAAGTCGATAAATTCAATGGCAAAGAATAACATACCAATTCCTAATTTCGAGAAAGCTGCTTTGAAAACTACCATTTAAATAGGTACTCGACAGTTTACTAGCTAACCAATAGGATACAGTCCCAACCACACTTCTGCACATGCCGTTCTTGTCTGTGGCCTTCGTGAATCCGAAGTCAGTGATCTTGACCACGTCTTCAAATGTCAACAGGATGTTGTTCGGACTCAGGTCTCGGTGAATCAGCTCCTTGTCAACGTGCAAATACTTCAGGCCTGTAAACACAATCATTTCCCCTGACATTTCTACGGAGAACATTTCGCTAAATGCAAGCAAATAACCGCAAAATATTCCCGTTGAAATTCTGGGACATTCGTTAGGCAACTAAATTTTACTCAAATGTTAGAATGTTTAAAGATAAAAGATGTTCGCGGTGCTTAAACTCTACTCATTCGGATCACATCAAAAACACCGAGTTTTTTTTTAAACTCAGCATCGTAATTGATTGATTAAATACCAGCACTGACCTTGGATGAACTGTATGGCTATGTTCCACACTCTCTCTTCCTGAATGGGGCCACACTTGCTGCTCTCAATGTAGTCCAGGTGCTCCTGCAGAGATATGCCATCGGCTAGTTCCATCAGCACATAAAGCGTCTCGTTCTCACGGAATGTCTTCAGATACCGGACCAGGTTGGGATGATTTAATTGTTCCTAAAACATACCCAAAACTTATTGGAAGCTTCCAAATTAATGTTTGACTGACCTTTTTACAGTCTTGCACAAACAATGACAGGATACTTAAACTCTGAAAACGAACATCAACATGGACTGGAATATAGTTTCAAAGAATCGTATAACCCAATTAATTGCCATTTTTTTATGTTCACACTTTTTAAAAATGTTTTTATGAACCAAGCCGAAATAATTGAGGTTCAGTTTTGTCACATTAGACAAATGAGTCAACACAATACCTAACGGCAACTAACCTTCAGGATTTTAATTTCATTCATAATCGTAGATGCCATCGCTTTCTTCTTGCTCGCTGCCTCCTTGCCAGAAAATATAATTTTCTTCAGCGCATAACAAGATCCCGAAGAGCCGTTTCCATATTCTTGCTTTTTTCTCACTCTCATAACAGACCCAAAAGATCCATCGCCCAGTTCGTCTATTATCACATATTTGCCTATTATTTTTTGCTCCCCTTCCAATTTTGGTGCTTCCAAGTTAATTTCAACCAATTTGTTTGAAATATCTTCTGTATTCAATTCTCCTTTAAGAGACCGATTCACAATTTCGGAAGCTAAGCTGGTGTAATTTTTTAAGTTCAGTTGGTGATTTCCACATTCTGCAAACTTTTGACACAATTCGACCGGGAAGAATTTGCGAATCAGAGAACGCATTTTCTCTTTCGAAGAGAACAGCAACCGCAGCGTCATTAGCGAATACGAAACTAATTTTATCATTTCGTCCTTTGCGCCTAAAACAAAAATAATTCGCTAGTAACGTTTCTGATGATGTCCATTTCTTGCTCCAGTGAAATTTGCAAAAAAAATGACATATCAATTTGCCGCACCAGATAGCATAAAGTAGCGACATAGATAGCAATGCTGTCACGTCATTTCGTTGATGTCCGTTGTCCGAAAAAATTTAGAAAAAATTCTTTCTCGATCCCCTTAGCTTTGAAGTTTCGCCAGTTTACAAAGAAAGAACGGTAATTGAAAGTTTCACAAAACTACATCTTTATTTTACAACTTTCTTTCACCTCTTTATTTTACTCTGTTGCAAGGAGCAGCGAAACTTCAATGAAATAAAATTTACTGCAGCAAAAACAATTTTTCATTTTAAAAATGGGTACTTCAGCTACCTGATTAAATTTAAATCATTTTAAAAATCCACAATTCAAATTTCGGCTCTCAGATATGATTTCGGCTAATGAAGCAACTTTGAATTCCGTTTATCTGTGATCATACCTGAAGCAGAGGTGCTTCTAGCAACTGGCAAGATGAAAGTAACTTGACCCATTGCAAAAATCCCATTCGCTTCTGTGAAAATTTTCTCATTGAGCTCCGAAAGTCGACAAACATTGGAAAAAACTGAACACACTCCTGCAAGGCACGATAACACCCTTTTTTCACGCTCTAGGTTGCTTGAATCATCTTCGGCTATTTGGATGTGTGCAAGGACGAATTGTACCAAATGGGAGACAATTTCTGATCTGACGGTATTTTCTCGTTTGACTATGGATGTGTGCACAATTTCAGGAGAAAAATAGCACATTCTAGCCACAGCTGAACAGCACGTCAAACTGAGGTCCAAGTCAGAGTCCGAATCTAGTCTGATATTAGCCACGAGCACCTGTCAAAACGTGAAATAATATAAACTTGCATAAGTGTCAAGGAAATCAAGAACAAAAACAAACTGACATTTTTATGAGAATTTTTTTCACGAGGAACTTTCGAGTGTCAAAGAAAAATATATCAACATTGATGACAGAAATTAACTTTTGCTATTGGATAACCTAATGTGATTTCTAAATAGAGAAAAAAATTTTGAAGCTAAAAAAATTAAGAAATCGGACCACCGAAAATCAAATTGAAGCATGAACAACTTAACTTTTCAGAAAAACCAAATAAAAAACTACACGACTTAGACCTTTAGAGTGAGTGTCTTCCTTTCATTCGTCGACACTTGGGACCAAAAAACTTCCCTTTGTTCCGAAAAGCTAAAATCTAAATCAACTTTAGACAAACAAACGATGTCAGACAGACAAAGAAAAGGAATTAGAAGTTCTCGAAAACAGTTCAAGTGACAATTCATCTATCACTTTCTTCCTGTGCTTCAAAAAGTTTTTTAAAAAATTTCCAAATCCATAGCTGGCCCTAAAAAGATTCATAACAACCTCAGGATACGACAATAAATTAATTCATCAGAATCACAGCTTGTAATCAAAAGTTCTTTTTATAAATTTCAGCTTTTTTAGAGCTATCAGTTCTGGTTCTACAAAATTACACAATTACCCTGAATAAGATACCAGAATCGCATGAAACAGAAAAAAAAATCATATCTAAGACTACAAAAACGGACAGATTGCGAACAAGGGGCGGATTTATGGGACAAACTTCTCTAGAAAAACTAATTTTCAGGGGGAGCGCTCGCCAAAAAAACGCGTTTTTGGTCAAAATTTTCCAAAGAGTGCCCAAAAACGGCCTTTTTGACCTGGTTTTTCATAAATTCGCTTCCCAACCCCCTCCTAGCCCTTCGAGGAAATCCTAGATCTGTCCGTCAAAATATTAATCGAATTAAGAGCATCTGGCAAGTAAGAACTTTGTTTTTCATGTAAAATCATTTTTGGTATCCAAAATACTCAGAACACCAAAACATTTCATTTTTAACAATACATCAAATATTCAGGACCACATCATGTTATTGCAACTAACTGTTTGATAACAAATTTTTCACATTGTTTCAAACAGTAATTAACAGGAATACGTTCAGATGCGCATCTAGCTCAAAATTTCCGACCAAATTTCCGCGAACTTGAAAAAAAATAGGAAACTAAGAAAAAATCAAGACAAATTTTGATATTTATTGTCGAAATGAAAAAAATATATAGAGATTTTTTCATACTGTTTGTTTTCCAGACAACGAAAAGGGCTGAGTTGGTCGACGATCTTAAAAATTCAAGTTAACAATAGCTTGGAATTTAAAAAAAACTAAATAGAGGATGAATTAGATTGGAAATTCTCTACAAAACCTCAATCGTAAAGCTAACGGTTGGTTTCAATTTGATGGGACTTAGAAAAAACAAAACAAAGTAACTGAACAAAATCATGGCTAAAAAATAAGAACAAAGCAGAAATAAATCTAGAGGCTATAAAAATTGTAAAAATGCTTGAAAAAAAATCTGAAGCTAGTTCATGAAAATATCATTTTGAAAATGGAAGTCAAACTACAAGAATCTCATCTACAACATCAACAGGAAACTATCAATAGACTTGAAAAAGACGTAGCATGTATTTCAAAAAAAGACCAACAAAACTACAACTGACCAGAGCAAAACAACAAGCGGAGTATCAGACTTTACACCAATTCAATGAAAAACTTCAGCCTAAAATTGCCCCTCCGCTTGTTAAAAACCTTGAAATTCCGGAAAGCTCATGCCAAAAATTCACCAACAAGATATTGAGTTACTAACGGCGATAGATTCATTATCTTCGGCTACTGTAGATGAAGTAAATGGTAATGTTGACAAGCATACTACTGGGACAAAAGTTGAAACCCTTTCTACAAATTCTTGTATGATGCAACTCTTCGTTACAATTTTTCAAGACAAAATACTCCATTACAACTTGGAAAGATCCTGGTATCTTGGAAAAATTAGACCTATATAAAAACAGAAGAAAAATCAGCTCAAGCTCGAAAAAAATCAGACAGACTGCAAAGATATATCAGAACTAAAGTGTGATAATATGAACCTGCTATTTCTGAAATCAACCACAATGAACTTGCTATTTCCAAGATGATAGAACTGATTGAGATAAGAAAAAATTTTAATCAGCTCGAACTGAAAATCAGACACAGTGCGAAGATATATCTGAAGTCATTAGTAAAAAATAACATTATTGATCAATTTTCATTTGCAATCGGCTTAGAGATTTTTAAATCAGTCAGTTTTTAAAAAAAGGAATAAATAAAAACCACAGCTTTCAATCAAAAATCATTCACGATGCATTTCTTCATCCCATTTTTTAAAAACAAAACGCTTTATTACTACTTGAAAAGATCTTGGTATCTTAGAAAAAGAGGATCTGTATGAAGCAGAAAACTTAAATCAGCTCAAACTCAAAAATATCAGATGGACTGCAAAGAGTTATCAGACGCCCAAGAAACTATCATCATTGATCAAGTCGTCAGTAGTTGAATCAGTCAGAAAAAAAACGAATTTATCAGAACCACAACTTGCAATAACATCTCATTCACAATGAATTTTTTAATGCAATTGATAAGATCAAAACATTTAAATTTTTGAAATGAGCCTGGTATCTTCACTAAAATCGAATTGCGTAGAAAAAAAAACGAATATCAGCTCAGAAAAAAATATATATCAGAGACCGCGAAGATGTACAAGAATTATTTGTGAAAATATCATCATTATTCAATTTTCATTTGCAATCAGCTGAGCGTTTGGTAGGCATTTGTTTTTAAATCAACAATTTGTTGAAAAAAAAATGAATGAGAACCACATCTTTTGATCAAGAAACATTCACGATGCATTTCTTCATTACAGTTTTTAAAAACAAAACGTTCTTTTACTACTTATAAGATCCTGGTATCTTGGAAAAAAGGACCTGTATAAAACAGAAAGCTTAAATCAGCTCAAACTCAAAAAAATCAGACGGACTGCGAAGAGATATCAAAAGGCCAAGAAACTATCATTATTGATCAAGTCGTCAGTATTTGAATCAGTCGGTAGAAAAAAAAACGAATTTATCAGAACGACAACTTGCAAGAACATCTCATTCGCAATGCATTTTTAAATGCAATTGATAAGATCAAAACATTTAAACTCTTGAAATGAGCCGGTATCTTCAGGAAATTGGACTTGCATAAAACAGAATACTACAATCAGCTCAGACATGAAAAACACCAGACAGACTGCGAAGAAAAATCAGAAGTCATAAATGAAGACATCGTCACAAACCAAACTGTATTTGCCCTTGAGTTCAATTTTGAAAACGTTCCGATGATTCCACTTCTTGGAATTCCAAATCTGTCAGTTGATAGAAACAGCTCGAATTAATCAGAACTACAATCTGTAATTAGAAGATCATATAAAACGCAAACGTCATCAACATTTTCAGATCTACTTGATGAAAATCGTTCTCAAATGAACCAGTTATTTTCAAAATGATAGAACTGCTTGAGAGAAATTGACAGACTACAAAAAGATATTAGAAGTCCAAATAAAAAAAAGATAATATTATCATTGATCAACTTCCACTAGCACTTGAGTTAGTAGTATATAGTCCTCAGTTGCTAAATGGGCCAGTAAGATAAAATGAAGCTTGAAAAAATCAGAAACAAAGCTTTTACTGAAGCATCATTTACATTGAATTTCTTCATTGCAAAATATAAGGTCAAAACATTTAATTTCTACTGGATATGAGACTGGTATCTTCAGGAAATTGGACGTGCGTAAGAAAAACAAAAATCAGCTCGCAAAATAAAAAAAAACAAGATTGCGCAGAAAAATCAGAAGTCATTAATGGAAACATCAACACAAACCAAACTTGAGTCAAATTCTGAAAACGTTCAGATTCCATTTCTTGGAACTCAAAACTAGTCAATTGATACAGAAACAGCTTGAAATAATCAAACCTACACTCTGTAATTAGACAATCATGCACAATGCAAGCGTCGTCAACTTTCTAAGATCTACACGCTAAAATTCTACCTGAAATGAGCCTGCTATTTTCAAGACGATGAAACTGATTGAGATGAACACTCAAATCAGCTCAAACATAAGAAAATCAGACAGACTAAGAAGATGTATAAGTTTCATTAGTGAAAATATTATCAAGGCTGAATTTTCATTTACAATTGACTTAGCGTTTTAAAAAATTAACCTGCTATTTTCAAGATAATAGAACTGATAAGTTGGAACACTGAAAACATCTATCTCAAACTTAGGCAAAAATCAGACAGACTGCGAAGATATATCAGAAATCATTGGTGAAATTATCATCATTCATCAATTTTCATTTGCAATCGACATAGCGTTTAAAAGTCATTAGTTTTTAAAACGTCAGATATAGAAAAAAACATCAGAATCACAGCTTTTAATCAATAATTATTCTCGATGCATTTCTTCATCACAATTTTTTGAAACAAAACGTTCCATTACTACTTGAAAAGATCCTTGTGTCTTGGAAGAAAGGACCGGTATAAAACAGAAGCTTAAATCAGCTCTAAGTCAAAAACATCAGTCAGACTGCAAAAAGATCAGAAGTCAAAAAGGAAAACATCATTGCAAACCAAACTGTAATTACTGTTGAGTTCAAATCTGAAGACTTTCCTATTCCACTTCTTGGAACTCAAATTCAGTCAGGTAATAAAAAAAACAGCCTGAATAAATCAGAACTACAGTCTGTAATTAGAGGATCCTACACATACAAACATCAACAACGTTTGAAAATCTAAACGCCCAAACTCTACAAAAAATGAACGAGCTAATTTCAAGATGATAGAACTGATTGATATGGAGCACTAAAATCATCCATCTGAAACTTAACCAAAATCAGACAGACTGCGAAGATATATCAGTAATCATTGGTGAAATTATCATCATTCATCAA